AAAAAACCCAGATCAGAAAAATCAATAGAGTCTGGAATACATACATGCACACAATTAGTTACACACATGTAGAGATGAACACATGCATGAAAAAGGGCACATGCAATTAAAAAGGCAACAAAAGACTAGAGAATTTGGAAAAAGAAATTAAAAAAAAAAAAACAAAATTACAATACCAGATGAGGCGAGGATTATCAGGGCTGCAAAACCCTAGAAATTTGGGGGAGAATTTGGGGTCAATATTCGTAAACAGTAGAATCTGAAAGAGAAGAATACAGAATGTAGGAAGGAGAGAGGGAGTGTATTATGCATTGTGAGTTAGTTTTATTTTTATTTATTTATTTTGGAGGAATTTTGCAAAGTTTTCAGCTGGGTTTGGACCCGTCACCAGCGGAGGCAGTAAAGATGCAGTGCTACAAATCTGGCCCACCTCTTTAGTTACCTAGTACACGTGTTGCGTGATCTCTTCAATTTGGCTTTTTTTCATTAAATAAAGGAAAAAAAAAGATAACTTTTTTTTTCTTTTTCTTTTTCTTTTTTATCAATGCACAGGAAATAATATTACAATACTAAATAGTAATTATAAATAGGACTCGAGTTACTGAATGGAGGGAGTGAATTACTATTGATCTTCTTTAAAAAGAGTAAAGAAAAAAAGAATAACTATAAATTAAAGAAGAATATAAATAATATTAAATAGTAAGTATAAATTAAAGATGGGGTGTCAAACAATATAAAATTATCTTGGATAAGAGAATATATATAATTGTATGTTTAAAATATTAAAAAACTTAAATTATTATATTAATATATGTAAAAGTATCCAAAAAATTTTATATTAATTTTTAGAAGTGTGAAGTCAACTACAAGTTTTCTAAACTGAACTGCAACTTTTCTAAACTATTTTGGAAAGAAAACATATCTAAAAATATTTAAATTTAATGTTTATCGTGGATATGTGTATATGTATATATAGATCGAAAATGTGAAAAACATGTCTAAAAAATTTGTTTAAAGTGTCCAAAATATTATAAGCCTACATTATCTCACGCTAAATCTTTCGAGTGAAGATTTAGATTATACAGGAATTTATGACGTTCTTCCTCCTATAAACTAGTCTAAGTCCCGTGCACGGTAAGAAATACTCATTAATATTTATAAATTAAAACTAAGAGTTTTATCAATACAATGCCTGAAAGATAGGTAAATTATCAATGGGGGGCCTAAAAGATTTTTTTTTCTCAATTCAGGACCTAAATTGTTATAAAACTATCAAATTAAAGACTCGAAAGATGGGTAAACTATCAATGCGGAGCCTGAAAGATTTTTTTCTCAATTCAGGACTTATATGTTATAAAATTATCAAATTAAGTCTAGAATTAACAAAACTCAAAACAACATTAAATTTAGAGTTAAAATAAAAAAAAAAGATTGGTGATTAAATGTTTTTTAAATAATATTAATTATTAAATTTTATTTCATATCATTCACATTTTTAAACTATCAATGCATATGAATGAAATTTCAATAAGCATAATAGTCAATTTAAATATAAAATCATATTAATTATTTACTTAATATAATTATTTTTTTATTCTTTTTAACACCAAACACAAATATTTATGAGGATAATAATATTATAAACACGCAAGAGTACGAATGGTTATAAATTATGTAAAAATGTTTGAATGAAAAAGTGAGTTAAAGACTAGAAAAATTGATGGAAGAATGCAAATTTTAAAAAATGTGAATGAATATGAAAATAAAATATAATAATTAAATATTATTTTTTTAAACTCTAGATTTAATTGTGTTATGAGTTTTTTTAATTATACACTTAATTTAATAGTTTTATAACATTTAAGTCCCGAATTGAGAAAAATAATCTTTCAGGTCTCGTATTGATAGTTTACCCATCTTTTGGGTCTTTAATTTGATAGTTTTATAACATTTAGGTCCCGAATTGAGAAAAAAAATCTTTCAGGCTCCGCATTGATAGTTTACCCATCTTTCAGGCCTTGTATTGATAAAACTCCTTAAAACTATGGAAATACAGTTACATATTCTAATTTATTGAAAATGTCATATAAAGTTTAATTTGTACAAAATTACATAAAAATGTCATTTAAAATTAGTACACACACTGTGTGGTGCACATAACTGATAATAAATCACCTTATATTCGTTTTAAAATAAGTATCAGTTCTAAATTTAATGGTGTTATGAGTTTTGTTCATTCTAGACTTAATTTGATAATTTTATAACATTTAAGTCTCGAATTGAGAAAAAAAAACTTTCAAGCCCCACATTGATAGTTTACCCATCTTTCGGGTCTTGTATTGATAAAACTCCTTCAAACAACCGTGTGAAGTAAAAAAGGCAATAATATTGTTCCGGTTTTAATGGCAAGAGACTTGTATGAAACCAAAAACGGGCTTGCTTGTATACAAAATATTTTACTCATTTTTATTTCAAATCAAACTCTAACTCAATTTTAATCCAACCCAACTATCTTTAATATTATTCATATAATTAAATAATACAAACCAATCATTCTTACACATCACATCAACTTTAATTCACTATTCATCCACTCACATAATTTTAACTACCTATCATTTCCAATCATTTATATCTTACTTTTACATCAAATCAATTTTAATCATTTTATTTTAAAAATAATTTTAATACATTCTTAAAATTTCACTACAACTAACCATACCACATTTTTCAAAATTAACTATAGGTAACCAAAATAATTCAATTTGAACACATTATTTCATAAACAATCAAGCCAATTTTTTTGGCTATTAATTTAAGAATTATGCTACTTAGCCAACCTCCATTACAACTTGGTTTACAACCAAGTGTAATGGAGGCATTAAAAAAATTTAAAGTACTTTTTTAATGCCTCCATTACACTTGGTTGTAAACCAAGTTGTAATGGAGGTTGGCTATGTAGCATAACCCTTAATTTAATCATGTCCGAAAATCTTACAAAAATATTCCCAAATTATATGTATTAAATGCTGTCCAAAAACTTTGTTAACTATTTTTAATAAATGTTAATCTCTTGATATATAAATATATAGGGATTGGTTTAAATAAAAATCAACTTTGGTGTGAGAACCATATTTGATGTTATTTTTAGTTGTGCATGATGCTATTTTTAATATTGCATTGTGCTATTATTTTCACAAATGCTAATAAAGATTTTATTGCTATTTTTAATAAAATACACTCTAATTAAAAATAGCACTAAAACACAATCAATCATAACACTACATACAATTAAAAATAGTGTTTCTCACGGTTCTCACGCTAGGACTTGATTCTCATTT